CTATCACTGTATTATTGTCACTATCAACTTCATCCAATTCAGGAATCATTATTTCATCGCCACTATCATCATCAGAAAAAATCTCGTTCACAACATTTTCCAGCTGGTCTGTAGGAACACGAAGACACTTGCTGCAAGAAGCTATGGTGAAACTGAATGAATGTGAAATATTTTCTGACCTTTACCTTCTCAGAGGGTTCTGACAGTAATATAGACCCCCACAAAGTTTACAAGGGTTCTTTACAAACATGCACAAAAACTATCATATATATGTCTTTGGTTGATGAGTGCCAAGAGAGCAAAGAAGGGACGAGATTGTCAAAGCGTTAAAACACGCCAACGCCAGGGAACGGCTGGCATCGTCCGGGCGTTAAAACACGCCCACGCCAGTCAAAGAGTTAATAAAGATTGGGAAACTATTAGATAGAATATCAACATTTCTGCCAAGGAGAGTCTAGGTTATTATGAACTGAAGAAGCATCAACCATGGTTCGATGAAGGATGCTCAGAATTATTAGACCAAAGGAAACAAGACAAATTGAAGTGGTTACAGGATCCAAGTGAAATAAATGGGGATAATCTGAACAACATAAGACGTGAAACCAGCAGGCATTTCAGGAATAAAAAAAGGGAATATCTGAGTTGAAATTGATGAGCTTGCAATGAACAGTAAGAACAAGAACATTAGAGGCCTGTATAAAGAAATAAATGTCTTTAAGAGGGGTTACCAGCCTAGAAGCAACTTGGTGAAGGATGAGAATGGTGATCTGCTTGGAGAGTCCCACAACATTTTGAATATGTGGAAGAACTACTTCTCTGTTACTGAAAGTACATAGGGTCAGTGATGTTAGGCAGATAGAAATATATGCAGCTAAGCCATTAGTACCTTTTGAATTTGAAATTGTTATTGTAAAGTTTGAAAGGTATAAATCACCAGGTAATGATCAAATTCCGGCAAAACTCATTCAAGCATGAGGTGAAATATTATGTTCTAAGATTCACCATCTAATTACTTCTATTTGGAATAAGGAAAAATTGCCTGATCAGTGGAAGAAGTCTATTATTGTACCAGTTCACAAGAAGGGTGATAAAACTGACTGTAGTAATTACCATGGGATATCACTGCTATCAACTTCATAAAAAAATGTATTCAATATTCTTCTCTCAAAGTTAAGTCCACACACAGACGAAATTATTGGGGATCATCAGTATGGGTTTTGACATAACAACTCAACAGATCTTTTCCATTAATCAGATACTGGAGAGAAAATGGGAGTACAATGAGACAGTACATCAGCAATTTATAGACTTCAAGAAAGCCTATGATTCAGTTAGGAGGGAAGTCTTCTACAATAGAGTTTGGGGTACTCATCTAACTAGTTAGGCTGATTAAAATGTGTTTAAAAGAAATGTATAGTAAAGTCTGTATATGTAAACATTTGCCTGATAATTTTCCTATCTAGAATGTTATAAAGAAAGGAGATGCTTTATTGCCACTGCTTTTCAACTTTGCTTTAGAATATGCCATTTGAAAGGTCCAGGAAAACTAGGTAGGACTGAAATTAAATGGGACACATCAGCTGTTGTTCTATGCTGATGATGTAACTCTACTGGATGATAAAATAGATGTGGTCTTGAAGTAAACTTAGAGAAAACTAAGTATACATTGCTGTCACATCACCAGAATGCAGGACAAAATCATGATATAAATATAGGTAACATGTTTTGAAAATGTGGCACAGTTCAGATATCTTTATATCTAATCTATCTTTTTCAGAAATTTGTGAACGACTGTAACAAATAAAAACCTGATTCAGGAGGAAATTAAGAGGAGACTGAACTCAGGTAATGCTTGCTACCATTCAGTCCAGAATCTTCTGTTTTCTCATCTGCTGTCTAAAAATATAAAAATTAGAATAAACAAAACTATAATTTTGTCTGTTGTTCTGTATGGGTGTGAAACTTGGTCTCTGATATTAAAGGAGAAACATAGACTGAGGGTGTTTGAGAACAGGGTGTTGATGAAAATGTTTGGACCAAAGAGAGATGAAGTGACAGGAGGTTGGAGAAAACTACATATCTTGTACTCTTCTCCAAGTAAATTTAGATTAATCAAGTCAAGGATGATGAGATAGGCATAGCACGTAGCACAAATGGGGGAGAACAGGAATGAATATAGGATATTGGTGGGAAAGCCAGAAGGAAAGAGACCACTGGGAAGATCTATATGTAGGTTGGTCTACAATACGAAAATGGATCTTAGAGAGACAGGTTGGGGTGGGATGGATTGGATTGATATGGCTCAGGATAGGGACCAGTGGAGGGCTCTTGTGAAGATGGTAATGAACTTCCAGGTTCCATAAAATGTTGGGAAGTTCTTGAGTAGCTGCATAATTGTTGGCTTCTCAAGAAGAGCTCAGCTCCATGAATTACTGAATTCTAAACATATTTTTTACAGGCTCGAAATTATTTGCAGGGTGCCTGATTCATGTCACAGTTCAACATTTAATAATCTTGTTATAAACGTAAACAGGTCTTGCATTTCTCGTCATACCATTCTCCTTCAGTTGGTAACACATTAGCTTGGGATTCACAACATGCCTACTTCAGATCTCAGATGACCTGAATAAAATTATTTCATGACTTCTCATGCAAATTCCAAAATAAGAAGCCAGTAGCTTATGAACAAGGACTGAACCTGGTTTGTACCTTTTTCCTCTTCTGATTTTGCTCCAGATTATCACTAAGCAATTGCTCCAGCATAGAAATTGTTGCTCAGTGATCATACACAGGTAAAACAGGGAAATGAAACAGCAGCAATTAGGTTCAGTCTCTGTTCATAAGGTACTGGCTTCCTGTTTCAGCTTTCAGCTGGAAAGTCAAATAATCTTACTCAGATTAGGTGAGATCTGAAATAAATACATTACTTGTATGTATTTTAATAGACACAGAAGAATTAATTGATGGTACTGATCAGCTATGAATTATGAAGAAATTAATTAAAAATAGGGTTAAAAATTAGTGAGATCTGGTAATCATTTGTAATGTATGCACAAAAGTAGGTCCACTGCATAGCTTTTATTAAAAAGGAAGATCATGGTGTGAATAAAATGTCTGCTTACAAAGTGTTATCAACAGATTTCTGATTTACTAAATGTCACTTCCTAGTGTGCATTTTCAATCATTAGCTTATTACTTATTACCCATCTTTTTAGCCTACTTTCCTTATTTTGAAGAACTAAAAGGAGGCTTATGAGAACGCCTTACTGTTTGTGTCCGTGTTTCACATCCTAATAACTTCTGAATGTCTGCTTGAGAAGAGAAGCTCTTAGGAGTGAGCAGTTGGAGAACAGTGGTATGATTCTAGGCTACTCAGGACAAGCAGCGTTAAGGAGGCAGCAAGGTGACATGACACATGAAAGCCAGAAGAGTGGAGCCAGAAGAGACAGTTGTTGCCAGGCAAAGCTCGTAAACAGGTTCTTCCTTCTATAGTTACTTTTTGTGTTTCATACAATGGCACCACAGGTGTTAAACTGGTATCGGGACTCTAAACTAATTTATTACAATTACCTCAGCATACTGTGGTCTCTCAAACTTGTAAAGGAGCTGAGTGCCCAGCATGACATTGAAGTATTCCTTGATACCATTGGTCACCTCAATTAGGGCACTTTCCCTGCAATCACACATTTAGTTTCACTTGAAGCCACATAACCAAGGTTGCAACAAGAAATTCTTTAATACCATTTTGGCGTCCACACTGCACTGGCAGATCAAAATCGAAAGGTGTTCAAGGAACACCTATATTTTTAAAATGTAAGAATACTGAAATGTGAGTATGCTGCTATTAGTACAGTACAGATACAGTATCTGACTCGGTATTCAAGGCTATGGACATGTCTGGTTTGGCTGTGAAATGAGGGGCATGCATTAGCATTGCTGGTTGAGGCACTACGCTACAAGCCGGAAGGTCGCGGGTTCAAGTGCCGATCAGGACACTGCATTTTTTCAATTCACCTAACCTTCCAGCCGGAAGGTCGCGGGTTCAAGTCCCGATCAGGACACTGCATTTTTTCAATTCACCTAACCTTCCAGCCACACTATGGCCCTGGGGTCGACTCAGCCTCTAACAGAAATGAGTACCAGGAATATTCTTGGGGGTAAAGGACGGCCGGCATGTAAGGCTGATAACCTTGCCACCATCTAAGAGCCAATTATCTAGAAAATGTAGGAACCTCAACATCTGACAACCCCTATGGGCCTTCATGGCCTGTTACAGGGATACCTTTACTTACTTTTTTTTTACTAGCTGTGAAATGAAATGCTGAGGAAAACAGGTTTCCTCACACAATATTTTCAGAAAACATTCATTATAGAAAAGCAGCCATGTCAAATATGCGGCCCCTCAACTTTTAAAGCTAATTGATATTAAAATCAAAATTAAAATTTTAGTCAAAATATTTTTTGTGAAGACAATTTTCCAACAGACCAGAAGACAAGAATTCTCATGCAGACATAAATTAACAGGCTGCAGAAAAAGTGATTCTGAGAATTCCAGAAGGGTTTGTCCAACTAATGGTTTGTAAAGTTTGTGAAGGACAAATTATTGTATTTCAGAAGGTTAAGGCACTAAAATCCGCACAGCCTCAGCACCCCGAGTATTTCCAAGAATCCCTTTTGGAGGCATATTAAGAATGCAAGGAGGGTGGCAACTGAGACAAGTGCAAGGGATTTCTACCTTCAAAACTAGCTTGCAACTCCCAGTCACTGTCTAATGGGCTGCTAGCAAACTTTCACTTTTATGACCATTGAGACAAGATACACCTTCCTACTAGTCTGGTAGTCTCTTGTACATTGTCATTCAGTTCATTTTCATACAGTGACAGGTGCTGATGTTACAGTGTGATGAACGTATAAAGGTTATAATTAAACATTAAATTATCAACTACGAGTTTTCTTGTATATGTACAGTAACTTTTAAAGGGCAATGTCGCTTTCAAAAAATTCAAGTAGCAAAAAAGAACTATTGAAAGTGAGTGCCGTGTTTTTCAAGAAAAATGGGAAATAGCTTATTTCTGTTGTGAGATAGAAGGTAAAATTACATGTTTGATTTAATATACCACCATCACAAACTTGTAGGCCTTATTTACATCACTTCATGTTGCAACAAAATGTGGCCCTATAAAACTACAAACTATATGACCTTTCACAATCTTCAGCTTCTCAAACAAGAATCCAGCATGTAAGAATTGGAGTTTTCATGGCAGTAACTATGAAGAAAACTATCTTCTGGGGTGCAATGCCATGTAGTTTGGTAGAAATGTACACGTTTGTCATAAAGTATGGTGTCCTCATTTTAAGGGCAGAAGATGGAGCCAGCAGGTTCCTTGGAAGTACTGGTCAATGTCTGCCAGACAATTCGGTGTCACATCCAATGAGACAGTAATGTCCGAGTACTTATTCAATACATTTATCCTTTGTTTACTCCTACTTAATGACATTTTCAATAGCTCAGATTATATGTCAAATGATATGTTGATCTGTGAATAATGAACTGGAAAGCATGTGAATGAAGCAGTGTTGCCTAGTTTGAGATATCTCAGTATCTTTTTTTCTTTTAATGCTAGTGGGGTGGGACTAAGTCCCTTGTACTGTGGCCACTTCTGGCCTATTGTACCAGCCCCAGATGATAGGTGAGGGTGATTGTGGAGCAACTGGTGGAATGAAGATTGGCAGGGGAAACCGAAGTACTCGGAGAAAACCTGCCCCAGCGCCACTTTGTCCACCATAAATCCCACTTGACCAGACCCAGGATCGAACCCGGGCTGCCGCGGTGGGAAGCCAGCGACTAACCACTTGAGCTGACTGCGCCATATCTCAAGCAGTTAGTTGCTGGCTTCCCACCATGGCGGCCCAAACCCTGCCTGCACCAGAGCTCAAGTGGTTAGTCGCTGGCTTCCCACCACAGCAGCCCGGGTTCGATCACAGGTCTGGTCAAGTGGGATTTATGGTGGACAAAGTGGCGCTGGGGCAGGTTTCCTCCGAGTACTTCGGTTTCCTCTGCCAATCTTAATTCCACCAATTGCTCCACAATCACCCTCACCTATCATCTTTGGCTGGTACAATAGGCCAGAAGTGGCCGCAGTACAAGGGACTTAGTCCCACCCCACTAGCAAAAAGAAAAAACCGCTTCCTAGCAGAACTGAGGAACATCATGAAAAATATGTCAATCTAGCCCATCTCTCGGTAAGATTTTAACCCAGAATCTCCAAAATATGAAACAGGAGTGCCATCCACTTGGCAATAACACTGGGTAAGAATGCAGTGCTGTGTATGATTTCAGACACCAAGAATCAGCAGATTTCCTGATTCACAACTTGGTTCGAGTCTCACGAGATGATGCAGTTTACTCTACATAGCTAAGTGACTAGTCAGAACATCACGACTAGAGTGCACACCATTCCTGCAGCTCATGAAGTTCCCTTGCATGGTTTGAAAGCTTCATTCTGACATGCAATTTGTGCATGCAGAATAACAGGAGCTATGGGTTTTGAAGGTGAAGGTAAAGGAGTCTGTACACTTTATTAAGCACCACACCAATAAGATGTATGGGGAAGAGGAGGTATAGCTCCACAGACATTTAACCTTGATGCTTGATGGAGGTAATCAGTCACAGCTACTTAATCCTCCCTCCACCCCCAGGAAAAAGAACCCATTGGACAGGAGACTGGGTAGACACCAGAGGTGGTCTGGATGCTGTGGAGAAGACAAACATTTTTTGCCTGTGCTGGAAATCACACCTTGATTCCCCAGTAGTCCAGTCCATAGTCTGGTCACTATACCATCTGAGCCATCCCGGGTATTTTGAAGGAAATATAAATTCAAAATGTTGTGTCAAATTAATTCCAACACTTCTTTGGTGCGCTAAGGAGGACAAAACTGAACACATTTGCTCACACATCTGACCAATGTTTGCCACATCTGACCAATGTTTGGATAAGTGTTCCCATACATAGATTACCATACAATGACTTCAGTTGAACAGCAATGCATGCAAACAGATTCCTGTCTTTCACAGTTTATGTGTAGTGTGTTTCCAGATTTTTCTGGTCAACGAATGTATTAAAAGCTGTGGGCTGGGAATTCAAATGGCCCACTGAGAGGCTGGTAGTGAGCATGTTAACAGATACTATACCATCTGTCACAGGTACATCATCATCATCAGTAATCTGTCAGAAGACAGGTCCACAGTCTATTCCAAAACAATTCCTCCACTTAATGCGATCTAGAGCTTTCTCCTTCAAATGACAGTATCCTCTTCTGTCCCCAAGGTCATCCAGCATCTTCTTACGTCTTCATCCTCGTCTTCTTGTCACTTCTATCCACCCCTCTATCTTTCCTTCAATAACTTCTTTTAGAAGGCAGTTTCTGCATAAAACATGACCAATCCAATTAGCCTTCCATTTTCTTATTTCGTGTAGGATATTCCTCTGCTCACTGACTCTAAATAACACTTCTTCATTTCTCACATAATCGGTCCAACTGATCTTCTTCATCCTTCTCCAACATCACATTTCGAAGCTTTCCAGGTGTTTCTGATCTACTGCCCTAAGTGTCCAGGTTTCAGCCCCATACAAAGCCATGCTCCAAATATAGCATTTCACTAGTTTCTTTCTCAAATTTAAGTCCAATTTGCTGGTAAAAAGATTCTTCTTCTTGCTAAATGCAGCTTTTGCCATGGCAATCCTGGATTTAATTTCACAAGTACACCTTCCCTCATCTGTTAACAAGCTACCCAAATATTTAAAACATTTCACATTCTCCAGTTGTTTTTGGTCTATCTTTATTGTGACTGGGGTTGGTTGTCTTGAAATTTTCATTACTTTTGTTTTCTCCACATTCATTTCCATGCCATAGCAC